GGGCCGACTCGACGGCAAAACAACAACAGAGCTTTATGCCAAAGTTAAGGAGCCCTGGTGGCACAGTTGTTAAGCACTTGGCTGCTAAATGAAAGGTCGGTGGTTCAAACCCACAGCCGTTCTGTGGGAGAAAGATGTGGAAAACTGTTTCCATAAACATTTATAGCCTTGGAAATCCAATGGGCTCTCCTACTCTGTCTTACAGGGTCACTGCGAATAGGAATCAACTTGACAGCAATCGGTCTGGGTATGCCAAAGTTACATTTTAGAAAGTTTTTACTTCCTCTCATATGATGGGGCCAGGAAGCTCAATTCCACTTTTCTAGCTTCAGCCTCATAAGCATGATTTCTCTTGCTACAGTGAAGGAATCACATCATTCTCCTTAAGAGAATGGAATGAACCCTCAAACCAGGGTCGAGGAAAAACTACACAACCATAAGACCACCAGCATGCTTAACTACAGTCTGCTTAGCTAGGCTCTGCTCCAAAGAGAAAATTAAGTCACTTCAATTTTCCACAGAAGAGGATTTTTTCAGCTAAACTAAAACCAAGAACTTGGAAGATAATGGTTACCTTGGGCAAGGGAAAGCATGAAGAGAATGGGACCTTTTGATTTACGTTATTTCAATCACTCACTTCATTGTTGAGTTTCTACTATGGATGTCAGCCAAATATGTGAGGTACTAGAAATGCAGCATGGAAAACAAAGGCCCTGTGTTCACTTTGGCTCTTACATATTATATGTTTTCATGTATTATTTGTGAAAAAGAGAGAAAGACAGAAAGAAGAAAAATAAGGATTCAGGGAGGGAGAAAAAAGGAAAGACTCAAGAAAACCAAACCTCTGGCATTCACCACATTTTAATCTTAATGCTTTAATTCTTTGCAAGTAACCCTAAAAGCCCACTATATACACTAAATTTTCTCAGGGATAAAATAAGACCACACACTTTAGAGGTACAGTATAGGAATGCCTCTTAGCTAGAAGGTTTTTAGTTGTCCAACTGCCCTCTCACTCACCCAGGCTTTTTCACATGCAACTTCACACCCATGATTCTTGTTTTCTTAGTGAAGAGATAAATATGAGTGCTAATAATAACAGAAGATGTCTAAGAAAGGGAAGGTTCTTAGCAAAAACACGTAAGTTTGTGATGAAAGAGATGCAGTTCCAATTCAACAGTGGCTCAGGCATGGTCTGCATGGCTCAGGTGAGTTTTACAAACACCTGTAAGGCCATGAATAATATTACTGCAAAAATAAAGAAATACGTTACATTTGTTTTCTTTCAGTGGCACAATTTACTTTAAAAGTTGTAGGACGGGAGGGACTTCTGGTAAGATGGAGGAATAGTCAGACAAGCGACACAGACCCTCTTCAACAAAGAAAAGAGAAACCAATTGACAGAGATACAGAAGATAATCCTGGAGCCCTGAGCTTTAAAAGAACTATACAGAAGTGGATTAGGCATCAACTAATAGAAAAACCTGAACAAAAACAGGACCTAAGACTAGGCTCTGTTTGCCAAGGATGGCAGGGACATATGAGAGGCTAACAAACAGGGAAGGATACAGGTGGCGAGTGTATACATGCTGCCAATTAGTGAACAGAAGAGCACAGCACAGTACCCTGCTTACGGAGATAACATACAAACAAAACAAACAAAATGAAAATCATGCGCAAGTTACTCCAACATACAATCACCAGTTAAACATAAACACAAAAATGTCACAATAACTCGGAGACAACAGAGCATCACAGTCCACACAAAGAACCATGATAAAGCAGGAGAAACAAGGGACAGACCCAAAACACATCCCTGAAGAAGATGAAGCACTGGAAGTCCCTGATAAGGAATTCAAAAGAATTTTATTTAGGTATCTTCACCTAATTGATAGGCAGATCAAGGAAAACACAGACAAAACCCTAGAAAAATTTCAGAAGACAATACAAGAACAAAATGACAAAATAAATGAAGGATTAGAAATAATACAAAATCTACACACAGAAATCCCAAAGATTAATACTAAATTTTCAGAAATAGGTAAGATATCGAACGGGCAAAGGAATAGAATTGAAACCATGGAAGACAGAATTAGTGAGATTTGAAAGCAAATACCTGAATATTTCTTTGGAAAGGGACCAACCAGAAAAAAAAAAGATCAAAACAAAACGAAGAAAACCTAAGGTTCATGTGGGATAC